ATATGGAAAACCAATAGAGCAGCAACCACTCATTGAACCCAGAATGAAGAAACCCAGAATGAAGCAGCAGTCCACATACGAATCACAATCCACATATGGACCACCTATAGTGCCACAATCCGGACCACCCATAGTGCCACAGTCCACATCCACATATGGACCACCCATAGTGCCACAGTCCACATCCACATATGGACCATCCATAGTGCCACAGTCCACATCCACATATGGACCACCCATAGTGCCACAGTCCACATCCACATATGGACCACCCATAGTGCCACAGTCCACATCCACATATGGACCACCCATAGTGCCACAGTCCACATCCACATATGGACCACCCATAGTGCCACAATCTACATATGGACCACCAATAGTGCACAGACCACCCATAATACAGCAGCAGTCCACATACGGACCACCCATAGAGCAACAACCTACATACGAACAACCCATAGAGGCTATAGAGAAGCAACATACATATGGACAACCAATCGATCAGCAGCTTATATATGGGCAACCAATTTATCAGCAGCATACATATGGACAACCAATAGAGCAGCAACCACTCATTGAGTCCACATCCACATATGGACCACCCATAGTGCCACAGTCCACATCGACATATGGACCACCCATAGTACCACAGTCCGGACCACCCATAGTGCCACAGTCTACATCTGGACCACCAATAGTGCACAGACCACCCACAATACAGCAGCAGTCCACATACGGACCACCCATAGAGCAACAACCTACATACGAACAACCCATAGAGGCTATAGAGAAGCAACATACATATGGACAACCAATCGATCAGCAGCTTATATATGGGCAACAAATTTATCAGCAGCATACATATGGACAACCAATAGAGCAGCAACCACTCATTGAACCCAGAATGAAGAAACCCAGAATGAAGCAGCAGTCCAACTACGAACCACAATCCACATATGGACCACCCATAGTGCCACAGTCCGGACCACCCATAGTGCCACAGTCCGGACCACCCATAGTGCCACAGTCCACATCACCACCCATAGTGCCACAGTCCGGACCACCCATAATGCCACAGTCCACATCTACATATGGACCACCCATAGTGCCACAGTCCACATCCATATATGGACCACCCATAGTGCCACAGTCCACATATGGACCACCCATAGTGCCACAGTCTACATCTGGACCACCACCACCAATAGTGCCACAATCTACATCTGGACCACCAATAGTACAACAGTCTACATACCAACCACCTATGGAGCAACAATTTATAGAAGAAGAAGAAGAAGACGAAGAAAACGAAGACGACGAAGACGACGAAGACGACGAAGACGAAGACGAGACGAAGACGACGAAGACGACGAAGACGAAGAAGACGAAGACGACGAAGACGACGAAGACGACGAAGAACAACAACAACCTGGATTACCCATAAAGCTTAAGATAGAGCAGCTCAATGTAAAACCGATGTTTAATAATAATAAAATTACTCGATGTCACTCCTTACCAAATCCTTATTAAAATTCATTGATAAAATAAATATTACATAAGAAAAAATTAATTATCATTCATTTTTGTTTATTATATATTGTAATCTGCCTACCAGCATTGATAAATAAATACAGTATACTTCAGATTTTTATTTTTTAAACTATAAAATCATCACGATATAATAACTTTACAAAAATACTCAATCTTTTTCATACATATTGGACAAATGGATAATGATGAAATACACATAGAACATACTACAACATGTGTACAGGGCATAATTACAATATTTCTGTCTTTATTATAACATACTGAACATACGAGGGCATTATATTGAGGAAGAGGGGAAAGAACTGGGGGAGGGGTAACTGGATTACTACATGGAGGAGAATGAAGTTGTGCTATTTCAAGAGATGATTGAGGATTATTAGGTTGTGCTATTTCAGGAGGATGATTACGTTGTGCTATTTCAGGAGATAATTGAGGATGATGATTAGGTTGTGCTATTTCAGGAAATGATTGATGATTAGGTTGTGCTATTTCAGGAAATGATTGATGATTAGGTTGTGGTTGATTAGGTTGCGCTGTAAGCCTATTGATTTTAGGGAATGTAAACCTAAGCCTATTATTTTCAGGATAAGATGGTAAAGGAGGAATTGATATGTCTGTAGTCCTTCTAGTCCTAGATTGAGCTCTAGCCTCGGTCTCCATAAATTCCAAAACTGCTTCAATACACTTTTCTAGATTATAAAAGGGGACACCATTCTCTTCAAGTTCTTTATAAAGAGAGCGTCTTACATTTTCGGAAGGAAATCCCATGTTTATAACCATCTTTATTATACTATTTTTATTCATTAAATAGGTCATATCATCATCCGATAGCTTTACTTGATAAATCTTCTGGGGCTTAACTGCTGAATTACTTTGTTTGTAAGGAGGAGTTTGATCTTGAACCTGAAAAGAAAGAAAAATAATTAGGGTTGATTTTGTTATTTTAATATTACATTAATTTATAAATATTACTTTTAAATATATTTTACCTACCTTTTTAATAAAATCAGCCTCCTTGCTCAGTAATAAAAATTCACAACTTGAGGACCAACGTGCATGTACATTCCATGGTTCTTCATTTTCCTCCCAATTGTGAAGACCTACACCACAAGAAACCATTGTACCATATCCAAAAAGCCCAAGTAATAAAAACCTGCTTCTGCTAAATCACAGATTGTCAGTCGTTGTTGTTGTATTTCTAGAGGCCAATACTTTAGCCTCTGATCAGTATTAAAACTTTGCAGTCTTGCATCAAACGTATTATATCTGCAAGAATATGGTGTCGTCTCTTTCTTCTTTGTTTCTGGAATTGGAATTATCTGGTCTAAAATGCAACTCTGACCCAGGTTGATGTTTGCCGTTGGTTGATTTCTAACGAAGGGACAATGGGGAAAAAGTTTACAATGTTCTATGAGGGGTGTATCATCCTTTTCCCAATCACCTACGATACCCTTGCAAAAATAACAGGCGCAGAGATCTTTATTTCTGAGATAATAAAAACCCGCAGCTGCTAAATCTTCGGGAGATAACCACAAAGACAGGGGCCAGTCTACGAATGTATCAAGTCGTTCCTTTTCAAATCTGAATACACGGGTGTTATAGAATGTCTTGGACCGATTTAAAGTGCGTAAAAATATGCACTGGGGCCGTTTCTCCCTGTGAAAAGCTTCACTGTCGATAACGGTGGCGACGGCAGTATCGATTTCCAACTTGCACTTAAAACATTTTATTTTATTCTCCTCCTGAGAAAAATAAAACCCGGCTCTCGAAAAGGTCTCCACATCTACATTTATTAGTGGAGAATTGGTGGTCAAAAAAGTATTCTGGCGATCCTTTTTTTCATAAAGACTCTGCCTTGATTGTTCCATTATTATTTACACCCATGAACGTGTGGTGTAACACCCTTGACCCCTGTGAGTTTATTGTGCCCGCCCAACACTTGGTACGTCACCTCGCCTCCCAGAACACCGAGTCCGTCAATTTATACTATCCAGATTCAGAGTTGTCAAGTTGTAATATTTTATGAAATGGTGCAGGTCTCGAAGTTTATGTTGTATAATTAATCGTATATAAATAAGTGTCGTTAGTCATCAACTACAGCCCCACAAAGTACCTACTAAGATATGGATATACACAATCACAATAAGGTAAACATCGGCACCACCGCACTGCATGACTCTAGTACACTCCCTCCTCAACACTACCACGGGTCTTTCACGTCTAATTCGCACATAGCACAGTATCACATTTTGCCTTATTGTTAGAGGATACACTTAACCATATTTGTGTAAAGCAGAAACCGCGAAAAAAACCTAAAATCCACAAAAACCTTACCAGATATTTTCTTCTTCAGAGTTTCCCGGCTGATCTATGCCATGGACAAGAGGAGGAGAAAGAAAAAGGAGAGAAAAAAGTTACTTTTGTATCTGAACCACAAGTACATTATCTAATTTTAGACCCATTTTCTAGAGAAGCTAGAATGGGGACTGACTGGATAAACAGAATACATTTTAAAAAACGGTGTGATGATACTTCGATAAAATTATCTGCTATTTTAACAGAGAGTCATCGAAAGAATGTATATGATAATAGATTTAAGTGATCATTATCACTCAGTTTGAATCCCCACCCACAAAAGTTTTGAAATACATTTTATTTTGAATTTGTAGTTTTTTTATAAACCAATTATAAAAAATGAACGAAAAATAAAACCAATAAAAATTACTATCGTTTTTGAACGAGAAAATCTAAAAGATCTATAGTATTTTTTACCACACAACATGTATTTGAAAAACATTTTAATTCATTAGTATCTATATAGAGTCTAGCAGAGGGTGTTTTTGAATGTCCTCGTTTTTCGTGATATGGACAGTAAATGTTACTTTTCCATTCATTACCAGCTGCCTCATTCTCCCAATAAGGTTCTTCTTTTAAAATCTTTTGACATTCTAGAGTAGCCATTTTCAATTTTTTTATATATTTATATACTGATGGGTATTTTTCTGAATGTGATTTTTTAAAACCTCTTTTTAAACACTTATAAGACGACGACAACGAAGAGGATCTTGATCTTTTGGTTGGTGGTGGTCGACATGTAGTCTTGCTAACTATAATTTCATATTCATATTCAGTTTCACAATTTTCTTTTTCTTTTTTTTTTTCAATTGCAACTTTTATTTCTTCTGGTGATATATATCCACCGGTTTTACATTCTGTGAATATAAACGGAATTTCCTTATTCATTATGGAGTTAAAGCAACAAAAAATATTAAATGAATGGAAAGATTATTATCAATTTATAGTAAAATCTCAGTTTTTATATATACAAGATAAGCGGTATGCTAATTATTTTGAATCACTCTTAAGGACATGGCCTTCTTTTATAAAAAATTTAAAAGTTATAATTGTTCATCAAAGAACCTCAGGTAATAAACAATGGTATTTATCCAAAGATAAAACGATATTAAATATATTTGATTCACCCTTCGAAATAAAATTCTCATCATCGATGATAAATGGAATAACAGTATCTGGTAGTTCTGCTTTCGGTATTAAAAAAATAATTAATTCATTGATTGCAGGAATAAAAAAGGAAAATAAAAACATATATATTCAATGGGGTCAAAGTAATAACAATGATAGCCCTAGTGATGATGATGATATGAACGATAACAACTAAATATTTTTTAATTTGGTAGGATAAGGATAAATATATAAATATAGGGATATAAGATAGAAAATCTATTATTGTCTATGGGTTCACTAGATGAAGATCTACTTAAGTAACACACGACAGAGTAACAAGCTAATAGCTATTCAGCAATGACCACCAAGGAGAAGAATTTTAATATACCCTTTACTGGAAGTGATATATTTGTAACTTTGAAGATAGTGTATAGTCAACTTGATGTAGCACACTCACATTCAAGTTTTGCCGAATCTACTAACAATAGTAAAGTTTATCTCCGCCACAGGAATAAGAAGAATGTTGAAAATGTAAAAGAGCAGCAAAATAAGAAGAGAAAAGAAGAAAGATTCAACAAGGAAACAAGAACTAAAAAAACTTGTGAGGATATTAATAAATACAATGTATTTTTTCTGTCAGAAAATGGATCCTTAGTTATGAACGAAGGACGAAAAAGTTACCAAAATTATTGTTATATTACAGAAATAACAATATATAATGCTTATAAGGAAAAAATACACCACTTAACCTCAAAAGTAGCCTTGACAACTAAGGAAATTTTGATTGCTATAATTACAGCAATTAAAGTTATTGATGATAATATAATATGCAGTAACATTAACTATACTCCAACTTATCTAGTAACTGATTCACAATTAAATATAGATATTCTCCACCGTATAATAACTAATGGCTTAACTATTCAATCATGGCCGCGTAATAAAAATATCCCTCCCCCCCAGCATTATCTACACAACCACCACAGTGATAATTGTTGTTCAATTATTAATGAAAATAAAGAAGTGATACCCAATGTAAATTTTGTAGGAGTAGGAGAAACAACTGGAAAGATGCAGATGCAGCAACGGGAAAAAATCATTCTGTGGGCATTTACAAATACACTTTCTCATTTGTATGCCTTAGATCTGTTCAGCTCATCTATAGCTAAAAATGATAATATCTCTCGACGGCAAAATGTGTGGTGTACACTTAAAGATGTTTCATGTCTCAATGTAGGCAGAGTAAAAAAGCACGCTTACCTTATCACCAATACATGTATTCAACCTGTAATCAATATATATTTGGATTCTTCAACACTATGTAATTTTGGATCTACTTTAACAACTTCATTTAATACAATTATGGATATGTATGTATAATATTTGATAATTAATAAAAACAATTAAAAAAAGAAAAATTGATTATCCCTTAAAAATAAGAAACGGTTGTACGAACCGTTTTTAGAATTAAGGCCACACAATTCTTTCAAAAAAATCTTCCTGTTCGAGTGTATTACCTTGTGTAATATCTCTATTTAAAGTAGATACTATTTTACCTTTAATTATAACTTTAGTACATCCTCTAATTTTATCCTCTGGATTAAGACACGGGTAACTACCAAGTGATTTTTCTGTTTTATTTTTATTGTTACTACATTTAACCCAAATTGTAAGTGTATTATTGTCTTTATCTAACTCTGGATCGGGACATGCCGTACATGGATTACTTTTATTCCCATTTATATTGGTATAAAATTGACCACATTCACAAGTTTTTGTTTCACGATTATAACCTAAAGCATCTGTAACGTGAGGAGGTATATGCGTTAAACACGGATCTTGGAAACACATGGATCTCGAAATTTCTGGGTTGGCCACATAGCCTTGTGCGCATTCACATTCAAACTCATGTTGTAACTCATAAAAATCATTAGGAACCATTGAGGCAATATCGACTACACTTCTTTCATTTTTTTCATTAATTTTTTGTATACGTATCAGTTTTCCATCAGGTTCGCAAACAATAAATGTATTTCTATCCGCGTCATAGAAACCAGGTAATTTAGATTTACATTTCCATCTATCCTCTTCTTGGGAATACTGTAAATATCCCCATACGGAATTACATAAAGTTTTTGTTTCAAGGGGAGGTTCTTTCCATAAACAATAAGTACACCCTCCAATTAACACTGTTCCACGTATTGTATACTGTGTAGAAGATTCTTGGGGAATTTTTACTATTTTAAGGTACGGACCACACTCATGTCCACCAAGAATTCGACAAATATGTGGAGTATTTACTTTATTTTCGGGAACTCTTAGACAAATATCCTTACAATGAAAAGAGGACTCCTTAAAAATGTTGACTACATCATTTTGAGTAATATTATTTGACGTCCAACTTTGTATGTCTATGAAATTTTTTTGGTGAGTTATGGCTATTTTTTCAGCCTCCAAATCTTTTTTAATTGAATTAAATATCCATTTATGTGATGATAATCTATCTTTAATATAGATAATACAATTAAAAATGAATAACAATATTAAACTAAGATATGGAATAATATAATATAATTGAATCATTTATTTATTTTTCTTTATTGAATTATTTTACAAGCATAATCTGACTTAAATTTCTTTAATTTCTTTTTTCTTGTTACTTTGGGTAATGACATTGGTTTATTTGTATCAATATATGTTATAAAATCCTCAGCCAATTTAGGTACCTCATTTAAATCTATGTTTATTTGATCCTCTGCTCCAACATCTAAAACTAATTTGGAAAAATCTGGTTGCAAATTTTCAGATTGTCGTCGTTGTAATCGACCCGATTTTGATTGCGATCGTTGTCGTGATTTTGATCGCGAATTTTTATATCGTGATGGTTGTTGCAATTTTGATAGCGAACTTTTAGCTTGTCGTCGTAGCCGTTGTTGCTGCTGTGATTGTGATTGTAAAAGTTCAGGTTGCTGTGATTGTGATTGTAAAAGTTCAGGTTGCTGTGATTGTGATTGTCGTCGTAATTGTAAAATGTCAGATTTTCGTTGTCGCTGTAATTGTGATCGGCCTGATTGTGATTGCGTTCGTTGTGGTGATTTTGATCGCGAATTTGATCGCGAACTTTTAGATTGTCGTCGTAGCCGTTGTTGCTGCTGTAATTGCGATTGTGATTGCGATCGTTGTCGTGATTTTGATCTCGAATTTTTAGATTGTCGCTGTCGCGATTTGGATCTCGAACTTTTAGATTGTCGCCGTTGTCGTTGTCGCGATTTTGATCGTGAATTTACAGATCTTTGTCGTGATTTTGATCGCGAACTTTTAGATTGCCGCCGTGGTCGTTGTTGCGATTTTGATCGTGAATTTACAGATCTTTGTCGTGATTTTGAGCGCGATCGCGATCTTTTTGATTTCTTTTTTATTAATATTCCATTTTCTTGACATATAAGATTTGAATATTCTTTTCTAACTAATTGTGATTGTTGGTTAGATTGACGACTAGTATACAATAAGATAGAGGATACATACATATTGAATGAAGGAACATTCTCTCGATTTTTCGTAGAGAATTTTTTTACATAATCCCAAAGTAATATATATTTTTCAGCTCCGGCTGTTTCTAAATCTTCTTTACTAGTATATGGTTGTTCAATGAACAAATGCATAATATCAAAAATTAAGTTGATATGTAAATTATATACATCATCATAAGTCATTCTTATCTTTTTTTCACCATTATTCCAAATATTGTTGTAATCTTTATATTTTTCTATAAGAAAACGTATAATATCTTGTAAATTTATACTTTTGGATTAATTTGTATTTTATAATTATAAATATAATTTAATTTTTTTGTATAAAAATAATTTATTTTTTTTGTTGTAGAAGAGCCGTCGTCATTATCTAGATCATCTAGAACTTTATTTATACATTCATAAATACTTGGTAAGAGAAAATTTGTTTCAAATTTATAAAGTTCTTTCTTAGACCAATGTATCATATCAATAAAAAGCATCCATAAATTTACTAAAGTATTTGAATACATAATCAAAAGGACATGATCTATAGCAGAATTTGACTCAGATATACCCATATCTAATAAAATATTTTCAGGAATATTATTATCATTAAATATTAATACCTCTCCCAGATTTATTTTAGTTTGGGGAAATGTAAATCCCGAAAATAATAATAGCTTTGCTAAAATTAATTCCTCAACATTCTCTGATTCAAGTTCAAAAACAATTTCATTCTTTACAGCTTCTGATATTGTATGGCTACTTGATCTAATAAATACGAGACTTAAAAGCTTTTGTCGTAGAGTATGTGGTTTTATAAAGTAGTTCTTTATTTTTTTAAAGTTATCATCGTTATTACTTTTATCAAAATCTGGAACATCAAGATCTGTCATTTTTTTATATTTTTTACTATAAGGAAAATAAAAAGTAATTTCCTATAGAAAACTATTTAATATGTTACTAATGCGTTGAAGCTCATTATTTATTACAGCCATTTGTATTTTAAATTCAAGTTTATTTTCTATAAAACAATTTATATTTTTGTTCAGATACTGGACTACAAAGATATACATATAATATAATGATTTATATAGTTCACATATTTTGTCGTCGTCGATATCAATATCATTATAAGTGACAGCATCAGCATCAGCATCAGTTTCATAATTGCTGTCAATATCATTCTCGTTGTCGTTGTCATCTGTTTCATAATTGCTGTCAATATCATCATCATTGCCGTTGTCATCTGTTTCATAATTGCTGCTGTTGTCATCGTTGCTGTTGTTGTCGCCAGTTTCATAATTGCTGTCGTTGTCGCTGTCATAATTACTGTTATAATCGCTGTTATTGTCGCTGTCATCTTCGTAACCATCTTCATAACCATCGGGATCATCCTCGTCGTAGTTGTTGTAATCATCGTCGTCGGTGGCAGAATCAGAGTCGTCCATTTTGTAACTCTTAAAAATAAAAATAAACAATTAAAAGAAGAAAAAATATATAATATTTTAACTTTTTTCAACAAATATAGGAAACTAAAATACAACCTTACTCCTATGTCAAAACTCTGAGTAATAGAGATTTTATAATTTTTACCTTGTATTTATAGATCTCCTATCAACCCTCTCCCTTCAAGATAAAAATATTAGATGGTGGTTATATAAATTAGGAAGGAGTAGCTAACAAATTCCATCCATACATAGCATAGTGTAGTATAGTAATATTCCCACATGGCCGCCGGGATGACTTCAAAATCAAATACTGTGGAAAGACGTTTCCTTACAGTTGATATAGTATACTTTGAAGAGGCGAGAAGACTAACATTTTTTGATTGGCCAAAGGAATACGAAGTTAAAAGTAATATATTGGCTCACTGTGGATTTGTCTACACGCATCTGTGCGATACTGTTTATTGTTGTTTTTGTGGTATTGAATTATATGACTGGCATGAGGGAGATTCCCCTAAAGAGGAACATGATCGATTAGTGCCTTGTAACTATTACGCCAGATTAAAAAATGTTCCTATTGAACAAGGGCAATATCTGAAACATCCATGCTTTTATGATACATTATCATTTAATAAAATGGAGAAAATTGACTGGATGAAAAAAATTAATAAAATATATGACACAGTTGAAACTCGTTTGAACTCATTCGATCAAGCAACTTTTCCTCGGTTGTTAAATATAACACCCCAAAAATTAGCGGAGGCTGGATTTTACAGTGAAACATTTTACGGATTTGGAGATTTCGTTCGTTGTTTTACATGTTTCGGTGGACTTATGAATTGGCAGCAAAACGATAAGTGTCCCTGGGCTATGCACGCCCAATGGTATCCCAATTGTGATTTTGTTCATCGTGAAAGAGGTATAAAATTTATTGCACAATATAAACATACAAGTGACGACGATTATTTTGAAGAGAGAAGAAGGTATTATTATTTAACAAAGGAAGCTATGCAGAGTTTTATGAAATTAGATATTATACAATATATAATTAAGAGTGGTTGTCCAGTACCAATTATAAAATCGAATATAATTTATAATATTGAAAAGACTGGATTTCCATGTTTAAATTTGAAAAAATATCTTGAAGATTTCCAATCACCACCACTACCACAACCATTATCGTCATCATCAATACAACAACCACAATCATTATCATTGGCGGAACCATTAACATCATTACAACCATTATTACCATCACTATTACCATCACAATCTTTATTACCACCATCATCGTCGCCATTACTACAACCTGAATCATTATCTCCATCATCAGTACCACCACAACCACAATCATTATCATCATTATCATTACCACTACAACAACAACCATCAACACTAGCACCACCTCAACCACCACTACTATTGTTACCTCCACCTCTATTGTTACCTCCACCACTATCACTATCATCATCATCATTAGTAATTATTTATCCTTTACCTTTGAATTCCTCCTCAAGTTCTTTAGAAGTAACTAATGTTAAATGGTTAACTCAAATATTCGTCCCATGTTGGCATTTTGTTATAAGTACAATAAAATTGACATTTTGTTCTATTTGTGAACAAAAAAATAAAAACAAAATAAATTACTATGGAAAAACAAAAAAACAAAAAAAAAACAAATGAGTGATTGACAACACTAGCAGAGTAGTATAAAAGGTGAAAATAGTAAAAGCATTATTCAGTAAGTCTTTCACTTGTCTCCTGGAAGAGTAGCAATGAGTATTAGTGAAGAATATAATGCATTATGCTTCCGAATTTTTGCTGTTGGTGCAGAAAACTCACTCCAGAAGAATGTAATATTGGGTCCTAGAACAATTTTGGAATTGGTTCACTCACTGATATATTGCTTGCCTGCGGAAGAACGATCAAATACTCAACTCTATCGAATATTTTCGGATGAAATTAAGGATTCTGCGTCGTCGAAACATCAACAACAATCGCTGAAGAGGACTCTAGCAATTCTTTATGCTACTGATATAGAGGAACAATTAAATGAAGATTTTCTGAATTCACTAAGAGAGAACAAAGATGGGAAATTTTATTATGAAGACAAATTTAACATCAATGCTGATGAAACAAGAGTTATAAATAAAGCAAATAAGAAAATTGAATTAGCAGTTGGGATTAAAGACCTCTTTGACCCAAACCGAAAAGGTTTTAAGTTAATGTTAGCATCTGGTTCATCTTTCAATGGCAAGTGGAAAGAACCGTTTAATTATGGAAATGAAACTCAGATATTTTTTCTTCCAGGTGGTGAATATACTAGTGTTACTATGATGCATGCTGATGCTAAAACTGTTCAAAGAGGTTCGGGAATACTAAATGACAAAGATTTAGTTGTATACTTTCCTTATAAATGTGGATCATATTTATATGTTTATATGCCTGAATCCCCAGCCTCGAAAAATGAATTAATGTTTCTAGCTAGGAATATCTTTGGAGATTCAGGAGTACTTGAACAAAATCTACAAACTTTTACCAGTGTTAATTCTAGAAACCAATGGTTTCCCAAATTCAATGAAACAACTGAATATAAGGAAATTAAGAATTTGCCTGTTATTTGTGATTGTTTGAGTAATGATAACATTAGAAATTTAAACAAAACACGAGATTTTAACTCAGTTTTTTTAGAATTAAGTAATGTTTCATCAATTGTAAATTATGAACTAGGAACATTAACTGAATCTAAAACACGGATGTGTTTTACAGACTCAGTTCAGTATGGGATCAATGTGTTTGTAAATAAACCCTTTCTGTATTGTATAATTAATAATAATAATAAAATTTCAGATATAGGTATATATTGTCAACCAAAGCTATAAAATATATGTCAAAAAATGAATAGTAAATATAAAAATATAACATTAATATAAACCTCTGGTATAAAATACCTAATAAACCTTCTGTAAATAAAAATATAAAATTAAATTTGATTATCTATCCTTCCAAGATAAAAAGATAAAAAAAATAAAGAAATAAAACGAAATGAATGCATACTTTTATAAAAATATATATGATATTCCTGTTATTATTGATAAATCTGTCATTAATATTACTTTTGATGATATAGTTAAAAACTTAAATGAAAATGATAAATCTATATATAATGGAATTTATGGATGGAATACCATACCCCTACATATTAATTTGGTACGTTTTTTTTCTATAAAAGGTTTAACAAAACCTATAAACCCACCATCTGGATATTTTTTTAAAAATAATACACACAATATAAAACGTAGTATTTTTATGAAAATTTTGACTTTTTCTGGTTTAGTTTACAATAATGAAATTGTATGGGGAAAATATTTATATTGTAATGATTTTATAACTACAGAACAAATTGAACGTACAGAGATTGAGGCTTTTAAATATGTTAAATATCAAAATATTTTAGCTATTTTATGGACATATCTATTAAGTGTACTTGATATGAATGAGTATAATTCAGAAAAAGTACAATTATTTTCCAATATGCTTCTGAAACAGCACATTCACTATTGTTCAAAGGTTGAGGAAATGCATTTAAAACAGTATTATCTATCTCATATAGTTATTGAAGAACATTCATGGTCCCCTACAATTTTAAATTCTTTAATTGAAGAATTTGAATCTGACAAAGAGTGGTTTTCTAATGAATTACCGTCGATTACATTTGATAAAGCTCAATCTATGCATAAGTATCTTATAGAGAGATTTACACAAATATATTACAATACTCAATATATTGAAACTCCTAATAGAAATAATTTGTTATACACTAAAAAATTGGATAATAATATTATATCATTGGTATTAGCATTTAGCGATTCATATTTTAGAAAAGATAATAATTATTTATCTAAAGATCCTTTTAAATATGTTTTAAAAAATGGATATGCAGGTTTAAATATAAATTCGGATGGTAGTATAATAAATAAATTGGATACAAACAGGGAGGATATTATTCCTATTAACAGTGAAATTTTTTTTACTTCATCTATTATAAATGATTTCAATTTCGTATTAAATAAAAACCAAAATGCTCTTACTCTAGGAAAAAAAGATAAAAAATATTCTCAATTTTCCAAAGAAAAAAAATATAAAAAATATTCTCAATTTTCGAGTGAGAAATTGAAATTAGCTCTGATATCTCATTTCTAACACATCCTAATTATAAATTTTTGTTTTTTAATTTTTGTTGTTAAAAAAATATAAGAATTGAATTATGCAGATCTTTATAAAAACACTCACTGGAAAGACTATTACTCTTGATGTTGTTGATACAGATACTATTGAAAATATTAAGGCACAAATACAAAAAAAAGAAGGTATTCCATCAGATCAACAAAGGTTAATTTACTCTGGTAAACAATTAGAAGATGAAAATACTATTACTGAATATAATATTCAAAAGGATTCAACCTTACATTTAGTCTTAAGATTGAGGGGCGGGGGCGGGTATAAAATAGAGGAAGGAAGAGAAATAAAAAACTATTAACAAACCCGCACCCCAAACTCCATTCCTTGCTCTTGCTAGTACTTCCATATATAAAAGACTGTTTCTTTAAGTAGCCATCTCATAGAGGAAATGCAGCAAGCGAGAAAATGCAACAAGCAATTCACCTTCGTCAGCAACTATCACCATACAAAATATTTTATGGATTTAAAAGCTTAAATTATGAACAAACAAGATTAGATACATTCGTAGAATGGCCATTGAATTGGTTGAAGCCAGCAGATTTAGCCAAAGATGGATTTTATTATACGAGATACAAAGATATGTGTAGTTGTATTTTTTGTGGTTTATTAATTATGAATTGGAAAATGAACTATGTCTCAAGTGAACTACCACGAGAAAGACATACACATTGGTCTCCCGAGTGTCCATTTATAAATGGATCTAAACCAGTTGGTAATATTCCGATGGAACAATGTAAAATATTATCTATTGAAATAGATACAGAAGAAGA